GAAGAAAAAAGGAAAATGGACTGCACATTCAGTTCACTCCCCTGTTTAGCTACCCTACTCACATTAGCCATTTTTGTCAAGCTCTTTATCAAAAAGTCCTCAAAATCCCATCCACCTGGCCCGCCGGGCTGGCCGTTATTGGGCAACATCTTTGATCTTGGCGAGGTTCCACACCAGACATTCCACAAGCTACAGGCCCGTTACGGCCCGATCATTCACCTCAGGCTCGGCTCCGTCAACACCGTCGTGGTACAATCATCCGAAGCAGCCGCCGAGCTCTTCAAGAAACGCGATCTCCAATTTGCTGACCGGAAAGCTCCCGACTCGCTAACGGCCTTAGGGTACAACCGTGGATCCGTCGCCATCGGGGCCTACGGTGACTACTGGCGAAAAGTGAGCCGTATTTGCACAGTGCAATTTCTCGTCCAGAAGAAGGTAAACAAGTCGGCTACCATTAGGCAAAAAGGCGTGGATGAAATGATCGAGTGGATCAAGCGTGACGTAGCGAAATGTAAGGAGAATGGATCGTCGGGAGAGGTTCGACTGGATCGGTTCCTTTTCGTGTCGGCTTTTAATACGGTCGGGAATATTGTGCTGTCGGGGGACGTTATGGGGAAGAAGCTCGACGGGGAGAGTGATTTTTTCGACAACTTCTTGATGTTTTTGGAGTGGTTAGGAAAGCCTAACGTGGCCGATTTTTTCCCCTTTTTGAAATGGATCGATCCGCAAGGGATTAGGAGGAACACGGCCAAGTATTTGGGAAGGTTGATAGTGTTTGCTTCCGGGATTGTGGAGGATAGGATTCGGGAGAGGGAATCGGGAATCGGAAAGAAAAGGGAAGATTTGTTAGACGCATTGCTTGATGAAGGTGAAGTCGACGAGGATGGGCTCGATAAGCTTTCAGCTAAGAACATTGCAATTGCAATCATGGTAAATAAATAAATATATATATATTTTTTTAAATAAACTATTATATATGTCGCGGTTCGCATCCACTAACCGGAATAGTTTCGTGTCGCTCAAGGAAATGTTTTTCGCAGGAACAGAAACGACGAGCACCACCATCGAGTGGGGAATGGCGGAGTTACTCCGCCACCCGAACACGATGAAAAAAGATCCAAGACGAGATTGGCCGGGTCATGGGGCGTACCCGCAGAGTCCAAGAGGATGACTTGACCCGAATGCCCTATTTGCAGGCAACAGTAAAGGAAATATTACGGTTACACCCTGCTCTACAAATGCTGATTCCGCGGAACTCGATGGAGGACACGGAGCTAATGGGCTACTTTGTGCCTAAAAACACACAACTACTTGTTAACGCGTGGGCGATCCATAGGGACCCGGAAGCTTGGCCCGACCCGTTGTCATTTAAACCGGAGAGGTTTTTGGAGTGTGATGTAGAGTTCAAGGGGCAGCATTTTGAGATGATCCCGTTTGGTTCGGGCCGAAGGAGCTGCTTGGGCATGACTTTGGGTCACAGGACGGTGAGCCTGACCATTGCTAGTTTGCTTCAGACGTTCGACTGGAAGCTTGCGGATGGGCTTGGGCCTGACGAGGTGGACATGAGGGAAATGGTGGGCATAACCTTGCGCAGGAAAGTGCCCTTGAAAGTGATTCCCTATCTACGGGAGCAAGGGCTAAAACAGAGGCCTCATGAGTTTATCCATTGTTTCTTTAATTTGTTCTGACTAAAGTAGCTAATGGCAAAACGGATTTTCATGTCATTTTACCTACTCTGTGTCTTGTTCTTCCTGTATTGCTTATGTAAAATGATTTCACTTGAAATTTCAAACTCATTTGGTCTTTGAAGTGTATAATACGTTCTTTCTTTAGTCATTCAACAATTTATGCGTTTAGTCGGTATCACAAACAGCAGATTCTTTTTTCTGAGTGTCAATCCCAGCTTCTCCTCCCTGTCAATATCCTCGGGCCTGACGCCAGGGAAAATTTCATTTTTTTTCTTTTTTCTTTTTTGATGGTGTGAATGTTGAATTGGTGGAGTAATTTGAGTACAAACCTCTTGTCTATGATTTGAATTAATAATTTTTTTTTTGGTACAATGAAGGAGGTCAAAGACCTAGCTACGGACCCGACGAGGGTAGGAAACTCCCATAATATCGTGGCTCAGCCAGTGACGAAGCCCATCTGGGGGAGTATGAAGCCTGTGGAAACCAACCGAGAAAGATGAAGCAATGCCCGCTAGATGATCGGCCGCAAAATTGGCCTCTCGATGAACATGTTGTATCTGAATCCTCCAATCCCATCGAGCCATCCGACGGATCTCCTTAACAAGTGTTGCATGTGGGCCGGCATAGTTCTCGAGCCCAAAGACCGGCTGGATCACGCATTGGCTATCCACCTCGACAACTACTTTACGAAATCCCAAATCCCATGCAAGCCGGAGTCCATGAAAAAGACCACAAAGTTCGGCTCCCGTGATGGTACAAGCTCCAATATTCATGGTAAAGCCATCAACCCAACGACCCAGCTCATCCCGGATTAATCCACCGGCATTGCCTAGCCCCGTCGAAGAATCAAATGCCCCATCCGTATTCAACTTCCACCGCCCCTCCGCCGGCAGCCGCCAACCTACAAAGCGGGTATCGTACGTCACGGTGCCTACCCGAGCGAAGGATACCGCGGTTCTACCATACTGCTCCGTCATGTGAAGAACTTCTCGCCGCCGCATCTCGCAACCGGTTGAGCGACCTTGGAAGATTCTTTCATTGCGCCACCGCCACAGCTGCCCGGCGGTGATCGCAAAGATGGTATCCCAGTGGGCAGACCTTCCATTTCCTTTCCTCGCCAAATTAGTCGAAAGCCATCGTGTAAGCGACTGCCGAAAAAAGTGACGGTCAAATCCCGATGGGATCAGTCGATTCCATAGCCACGTCGCAGCCGGGCAGTCACGAAGGACGTGTAGGACCACTCGGTCTCCCCAATAATCGCAGCCCACTGAACTTGAGAGGTGTCGTCGAAACTGCTCCTGGTTAGTAAGAAGTTGGGCTTTAGCGGATAGCCACAAGAATGTCCGAACACGCTGAGGGGCAGAAGCCCGCCAAATTAATTTCTAGAGCCCTTTGTCGGGGTCGTTGTTTGAGCTTGACAGAGCCTGATACGCAGACTTAACACTGAAGTGACCATCATGTGAGAACTTCCAAGCAAGACGATCCATGCCCGCCTCGCTACGTGGGGGTAGCGTGCTCGCGATACGGAGAGTGATGTCTGAAGGAAGAAGTTCGTGGAACATCTCCCATTTCCAACGGCCCGAGTCATCAACAAAAGCAGCTACCGTCAGCGGGAGGTGCTCGATTGGCGGCATGTGGGATACAAAATTGGTTAACGGTAACGCCGCATAAAGCCACGGGTCAAGCCAAAATCTCGTCGTCTCCCCGTCACCTAGCACCCAACGCAGCCCTTTCAGAACATCAGGCCAGACCTTATTAATTCCCCTCATCAAGGCCGAGCCACGGCTGCAGCTCAAATGCTCCGTCCTATGCGATAATTCCAACCCATATTTGGCAGTCAGAACACGGCTCAACAAGGAGTTACGATCCGTTAGTAGGCGCCAAGCTAGTTTCATAAAAAAAAGCACGATTCATAAGGCGCGGTTCCTTTATGCCCAATCCCCCCTCGTCCTTTGCCTTACACACCATGCAACCAAGTGGACCTTCCGCCGAGCCTCGGATCCTCCCCATAAAAAAGCACGACAACGCTTCTCAAGCCCATCTGTGATAGTACAGGGTAGCATGATGGACTGCATGGAGTAGTAAGGAAGGTTGCTCAAGGCGGATTGAGTAAGTGTCACTCTTCCAGCCATCGAGAGAAGCTTCATTCGCCACCCTGCAAGACGGGACTCCGTCTTATCCATAATATGCGAGAATGTATTGGTCGACACCCGGCCGTGTATGATGGGCATTCCGAGATACTTCCTCAAGTCATCCGTACGTCTGAAACCGAGGGTCCCCGCTAAACGGTTTTGGTCCTGGATATCCACGTTGGCAGAAAAAAATATTTGCGTCTTTTCCGAGCTCACTTTTAGCCCCGACATCCGGCAAAAAAGATCGAGGACCTGCCTCAGGATGAGAACCTGCTCGTCCGTGGCCTCTAGGAAGAGGAGAAGATCATCGGCGAACATTAGGAACGACACAACAACGGCTCCTCTACCAACAGTGACGGGCCGCCAGGATAGTCTTTCCACTGTCACGCAAATAATCTGAGCTAGCCTCTCCATGCAGAGCACAAAAAGGTAGGGAGATATGGGGTCCCCCTGTCGCACTCCCCGTGTGGGCTGGAACTGTTCGCCAACCGTCCCATTTCACAACAGGCTCATCGACGTTGACCTTACGCCTGCCATAATAGCCCGAGTCAATTTGTCCGGGTAGCCAGCCAGGCGCAATGTGTCTTCGATAAAATCCCACCGGAGGTAATCGTAAGCCTTCTCAAGGTCAACTTTAACCACCATGTGACTTGTGCGCCCTCTGTTGCACCTCATTGAGTGGATCAGCTCTTGGGCTATAACAATGTTGTTGGTGATCTAACGGCCCAGAACAAAGCTAGCTTGAGCCGGATGAATCAAGGACGGCAAGGAACTTTTCATCCGATTCACCAAAATTTTGGTGAAGAGTTTGTAGATGACATTAAGCAAGCTAATAGGTTGAAAGTGCCGGATAGAGGAGACATTCTCGATTTTGGGTATAAGAACAATCAATGTTTTATTCACCTCCCGTGGAACTTCTCCTTCCTGCCACATTTTTCGGATGAAAGCACACACCGAGGATCCCACCGTTCCCCAGTTTTTTTTGGAAAAAGAGAGCATTAAGACCATCTATTCCTGGAGCTTTCAGAGCGCCCATACTTTGGAGGGCCGAGGTGATTTCCTCGTCTGAGATATCATCCCTCATGGCGCCCGTCACGGACGCATCCTCCACTGAAAAATAACTGGGTGCAGGCCCGTAGTCATCTGGGGCCGGCCCGGCAGTGTATATCTTCTGAAAGAAATCCGTGGCTAACCTTTGAAGTGATTGTTGGTCTGTAACTTGATTCCCATCATCATCTACGAGCTCATAGATTTTACTCCGGCGACGGTGATATTTAAGTTGTCTGTGGTAAAAGGAGGTGTTACGATCTCCCAGCAGAGCCCAGTCACGAGTAGATTTCTGGATCAACAGCAATTCTTCCTGTAAGATGACTTCATGTAGTTCATCCTGTAGTCGTTGTTCTAGAACCACCAAGCTTTCCTTAAAATAGAATTGCCGACTACGCTGAATACCCCCGATGCGGGCTAACAGTCTTTTTTTTCGTTGGAAAATGTTGCCGAAGACCGAGGAGTTCCATTGTTTTGCCCTAGCAGCAAAGTTCGATGCCGCCTCAAGATAGGAAAGTGATGGTTGTCAAGCCCCTTATAGCAGCTCACCGAACTCGGAATGAAGAAGCCAGGCGGCCAGGAATCTAAATGGTTTAGGCCTGTTCATCAAAGAAGGCGGGTGACCAATACTCACCGTAAGGGGCGAGTGATCGGAATGAACCCGCGGGAGGAGTTGGACTCGGTACATCTTATACTTCTCCACCCAGTTCGTGGTTGCTATAAACCGGTCCAGTTTCTCCTCAACCAGACCAAGTAGGCCTACACGGCTCCACGTGTAGAGGTGGCCGTCTGTAGCGACTTCTTGCAAACCATGAGTGAAGATCCATTCGGAGAAATCCACGCTAACATTGCGATGGGTCGGTGAGTCTCCTCGTTTCTCAGATTGTCACAGGAGACAGTTAAAATCCCCCCCAATAAGCCAAAGGTCTGTAGTACTGGCCGCCAAAAGATTCAGGGAATCCCGCAATTTACGACGAGTGGTTGTAGTAGGACTGGCATAAACAAAAGTTACTAGGCACTCTTCACCATTCTTAGACAATCGGACATGGACCAATTGTCTCGAAAAGCACAATACTTCCAGTTGTACCTCTTCTCTCCATAAGAGCCAGATCCCACCGCAAAAGCCTCTGGCTTCAACTCGGAAAGAATTGTCGAATCTACTGGACTTCGCAAACTTGTCAGCTTTTGCCCCACTGATGCGGGGTTCGAAAAGTGCTACCACATCGGGCCGATAATGGTTAATGAGGGTTGAGAAAGTTTTCCGGAAACCAGGCGAACCTGCACCATGGACATTCCATGAAATTATATTCATTTGGTACACACTGTCAGAATGGAGGCAACCGCTTTTACACCAAACGGTGGACTGGGGAGTCCGCTTCATCTTCTAGCTCCATAGCCTGGCTCGCGGAAGGAGACGAGCCCGTCAGTGGCCCTCTCGACCTAGGATCCTCCGGCCACGGTTCTTGGAGGGGATCCTCCCGACCAACTTCCGTCATCCTAGCATCACCATCAACAGGAAGGGAGGTGCCAGTTTGGGAGGCTTGGGGTGGAGTCACGAGCATCTCATCATCAGTCGGTTGAACAACTTGGTGTTTAGTCGGGTCCAGCCCAGCTCCTACTTGACACGTCTGTGGGGGGATTTGGGTCCTGCGGTGCGATTTTGGTGCCGTTAATGCTTCCTTAGGCTTTCCCGTTGCATCAGTCTGGTTAGGAATCGATCCATGGCTTGAAATAATCTTAGGCTCCGGCCGTGGTGCCTGTTGGGTACCACTAATACCCGCGGTGAAAGTTGTAGCCGCAGACGGTCGTCCTCTGTGCTTGCTTTTCTTCGTAACCACACTCCATTGCACACAAAATGTGGTTTTTTGAGTAAAGGGTGAATCGACCACTATTAAAAACTCGTACAAAGGAGTCTAGGTGTTATCAGATTATTCTACCACTCTGTGCCTGTTTTGCTTAGGTTGCATATACAATATGATTTCACTTGACATGTCCATGACCAAACAAAAGTGTTTCTAGTGAATGTATATTAGCATTTGTGATCCTAACGGTTAAAAAACTCGACATGAATGTAGTATTTGCATTGGAGAGTCTTTAACACAATATTTCTCATAATAATTAATATCAATTGGAGATCCCTCGTACAACACCTAGAGAAAATTTGTTGGGTATTTAAAAGGTCAACTTAAGACAGGAATGTTTTTCAATTTTACACTTAGTCGGGACCAATTTACCAAGCACCAAATGAGCTCAAACAACAACAAATTGTTCTGGACAACAGCGAACGGACCTGGACAACACTCGAGCGATCCCTAACAACACGCTGACTTGAGCACGCCGAGCAATATGTTCCGAATGACAAGTCGAGTGCGATATTGAGAGATAAGTGGGGCATTATAGGGTGGGGTGTGATTGCAAACTAATTTTTTTGTAGTCATCGAATAATTTCTTTTATACATAACTATGATTGACTAGAAAATTTTAACTTAGTTACTATTTATCTAATCCTACTTAACTATTATCAGTATAATCAATATAGTTAAATAATCAATCAAGCATTACTCATTAGCACACAGTTACCAACAAAATTTACTGTTTACTTATTCACATATTTTTAACTACCAATCATTTACAATAATTATTTTACTATTTATATCACTTCAATATTAATCATTACATTTTAACACAAATCTACCCCTCATCAACTCAAAATCTAATCTAAAATTCCACCTAATTAATTTTTTCAATCTTTTAACTCAGTTTAATAAATTAAGTCAAACTTCNTACTAATCTAATTGCACCCAAGTTGGGTAGTAGATGTGGCTCCTGGATTGGGCTTAAGTGGGCCGATTATTTAACAAAATTATACCCGTTTCTCTTTCTCATCATCTCATCTCATTATTATGAAAGCAAAAGCAAAAGCAAGAAAAGCCGAAACCAGATCAAGAGCAAAGAGAAGGAAAGAATAATACAAATAAAGAAACCCAATTAGGGCAAAAAAGAATTGGGGTTTTCTGTGCGAGCAAAAGGAAAGTAGAAAATTATTCAGACTCAGAGGACGCTACGAAACCAGTAATCCGTGATGCAGTTAGGACAGCTTTCGGGGATCTCGAGCTCCAGCGGGGCGCCGACGAAGGAGGACGAGGAGATGTCGAAATCCGCGCTGGCTACTTTCATGGCCAAGGAGGAGGAGATCGAGAAGAAGAAGATGGAGGTCAAGGAGAGAGTCCAAGCTCAGCTGGGTCGAATCGAGGAGGAAACTAAGCGGTTGGCCACAATTCGCGAGGTATTTTAGTTTTTTTCTTCTTTTACCTTTTTCTTGTTTCGATTTTCGTTGTTTGGTGATGTCTTTTGCTGCTGTGATTTGGGGGAAATGTGTGAGACTTCTAGTTCTGGCTTGTTCACGAGTCTGTGTTTGCTGGGTGAAAATTACTTCTCTTGCTTGCTACAGTAGATTTGGCTTCTCGTGAGTTCTTATGCTCATTTCCTTTGTTTTTTCGTTGAGTTCTCTCTGCGTGTGTGTGTTTCCATTTTGTGTGTTGTATCATCTGCTCCTTTTTGTTCTTTATGCTAAATTGTATTTATTCAGCTCTGAAATTATGCTTTAATTTATTGGCTTGTCTTCATGGTATATTTTGTTTTCAACCAGAATTTCTTATGCTCTGTTTATATTCTTGTCCAATTTCTAGCTTCTTTTGTTCGCCTACAGTCTCACGTGTAAAAATTGTATGAATTCGCCAAAACATGCATACTCAAATAGATACAAATGAATTTGCCAGGAACTGGAAGCACTTGCAGACCCAATGAAGAAAGAAGTCTATGTTGTTAGTAAGAAAATCGATGCCATTAACAAGGAGTTGAAGCCGCTCGGGCAGACTTGCAAGAAGAAGGTGATAATATAATATCCATATTTTGCCAGCTTTTTGGTTTGGAAAAAAAGAGAAGTGCATTAATAGACAAACTTTACATGATCTTTTGAGTTTATGTAGCTTTAGTTTGTTATGATCTTTTGAATTTATGTAGCTTTAATTTGTTATCACAGGAACGAGAGTACAACGAAGCACTTGAAGCTTTCAATGTAAAGAACAAAGAGAAAGTTCAACTAATTACTAGATTGATGGAGGTGGGTATAAGCTGATTTTGGTAGTCTATTTAAATTCAGCGTCATTTGGCTTTTCCATTAATGAAGGATTAATCACAAAATATACGCATATAATATGTTGAAGTTAGACAACCATATTTTGTCAGTGGATATGCATACTTTCAAACTGAAATATAATATTGTAAATATAACAAAAGTATAAACAAAAGTATGATATTTCATAGCATAAATTTACACTTTGGTTAATAAAGTATGAGGGGTCCACCTACCTAACAATTATGTTGCCTCATATTTGAATTTATGGTCGATCTGTAGGTTACCTAGCATTAGAATTTATGGTTTAAGTTTAGCATAATTATGCAGAAACTAATTTTTTGTTTGGAATTACATAAACCTATCGACATATGTCCCATTCCTACAAACTAAGTTTCTGTCACTTTTAGGGGCTGGTCATGAAATAAACGGCTTTTGGAATTTGGCTTACCATAAACTCAATTTCATTGTTATTAATATTATTATTATGTATAATACTTTTGCAATTTTTTTTAATATTAATTGCTTATCGTCACTGTTTCGTATTTGGCGATTATATGCATGCAGCTGGTGAGCGAAAGTGAGAAGTTGAGGCTGGGGAAATTGGAAGAGCTGAGCAAGAACTTAGAGCAGAAGAGCATAACTTAGCATTGCCTTTTGACATATTCTGATTTTTATCGTGTGATGTATTTAAGCGAAGCTCAACTTTTATTTATGTATTTGTTTCTTTTCCTTTTCGCTTTTTCCTTTTTTTTGGTGTGGNTGTTTGCTGCTGAATTAGCTGTTGATGGAAGAATTTCTAGTTCTAGGAAGAGGCATTTTTTTCTCCTTGGAAACAGGTTTGTAACTAAATTAGGCTCCCAAACTATTGTATTTCTTGTGTTTCATTTCAGATTTCTCCCTGATCATTTGGCATTGTAATTAGTGGAAATCGTGAAGCCTCCTTCTCCTTTTCTCCTTTATCTGATAATTCATACTCGTGTGTGGTAGGTATGAATTTATCTCGTATTAGTCCTAAAGTCTTTATAAGTTAATAATGTACTACATTTAGAGCTATTAACAGAAATGAATTGCTCGTGAGCTTCGCTCGTTAAGGTTCGATTGACTTGTTTGATAAACAAGCTGAGTAGAGCTTGCTTAAAGCTCGATTTGTTATGAGTCGAGGCTAGACTAGGCTCTTCAAGGATCAAAAAGAAATTATTTATATAATTTTCTATAGTGCGATTCTTTAAGGTTCGAACTTGGTTCGCTAATTAAACGAATCATTAATCGAGCTTGAGTTCGGCTTGTTTAGGGCACTAATCACATTAGAGCTTTTCTTGAAGCTAACTTATGAGACTGCAGTTAAATTTCCATGCAGAAGAGAGCTCATATGATTCTTTTGAATGGGACAACAATGCCGAAGTGCTCACCACATTTTATTTAAGTAAACCAAAATATATCTCCATAAAGAAGAGGGCTCATATGATTCTTTTGAACAGACAACAATGCCGAAGTGCATCCCACCTTTTAATTAGGAAAACCAAAATATATCCCGAAACTTGAGAAAACCAAAATATATCCCGAGACGCTGAAATAAAAGTGAGATTTTCATTAAAAGCTTTGAGCTGCTAAAAATTACAATTTTGTAGCCGAAATTTTCAACTTGCTATTTATTTCATTTTTAGCATTATCTATTTTTTAGAAACAATCTTTGATAATATAATATTTTATTTTTTACAATCTATTAATTAAAAAATTTTGTAATTATAAAAAGAATATCGACATAAAATTTATCAACTTTTTTAACAATATAGAAGAACAATTATAACCAACTAATTTAGGTTATTTAAGTGAATCTCTAATCATTGTAATAATTACCTAATGTTCTAAATTATAGATTTAGGCTTAGCAGATGCATTGCAGTACATTAAATAAAAGTTTAACCTTTCAAAAAAATTATTAAATGAAGTGAACAGTTAATCTTTGTCTAGCTACATGTACAGATTCTCAAACTCCATAATTATGAACCCTTGAGCCATCGAAAGCAAGCTTGCTATTAACAGCAAAATGAGAAGCTAAAAACAGAAAATAGGCAGATTTTTTTAAGTAAGAAAGCAATTGAAAAGTAGGAACTTGGTGACTTATCGCTATCTTATTAGAGCATCTCCAATGCTTAATGTTGTAGTGATAAATTATATTTCAGATCAACACATTTATTAATATCACAATTTTCCATCCTCCAACGTACAATGTAATCACAAATGTTGTGGTGATGTGGACATAATTAATGTCTACAATGTAGAGAAGAATGTGATTCATCCACATTCTCCTCCACACTCTAGCTAGTCAATGAAGAGAAGAGAGAGAATTATTATTACAATTTTCAAATTATTTAATTATTTAATTAATTTTATTAATCCATATTGAAATCTTAATATTTGGTAAGTAGATAATATTGTAATTAGACTACATTGTGCATTGGAGATGATTTTTTAATTTAATAGTTGTGAACTCAACATTTTTTTCTTACACAGTTCACATTCTATTTAATTTTTTGACATTTGTCAAAATTTATCCTATAACAACATTAGAGCATCGGAGATACTCTTAATTACACAAATGACTATTCATCCTTAAAGTAGAACCCAACCCAAAAACCAACCCCCACAACCACTAAAATAATCAATAATGAGAAATAAAACCAATATAAAGATTCATAATCCACATTGTTATTCGCAGCTCAAATGTTCTTTTATGGATCTTATGAAACACCATTATTTATATAACTTCATCTTGGTTCAATATTCTCCATACACTACAAAAATATATCAAACTCCAACTAGGATTTGTACGGACAAATATTTCATGAAAAATTCTAACGGATATTCTAATAGAGCTTCAATATTAAAATATTTCATTAGTATTAAATTTTCTTTAAAATTGTAGTTGGATGTAATGCTTCCAACAACAGTTATTTCTATGGGTTTATTGTTGAGAAAATTTCGTTGAAATTAGTTTTTCAACAAATACTTTCAATCATTGAGAAAACTACCGTCGAAATCGGCAGAATTCAACATAAATTTCAAATGAAACCAATTCCAAAATAATATCTACTTTATAATTTATATTTTCAATGAAGTTATAACATTGAAATTTTCAATATTGAAATTCTATTGAATTATATTTACGATACAATTTTCTTTTTAAATATAAATGATTTTTTGGTAGTGGTATAAAAATTGGGCTTGATACCTATATTACGTAGCTGGTATCTATAATTTCACGTTTGCACAAATTAATTAAAGTTTGTGCAAGATTAATGTTCTGCTGGGACATGTGATATTCTATTAAATCAAATATCAATTTTATTATATAATTATATAGTACTAGTGTTTTTATATGTGAAGTATCCATCCTTGAAATAAAGCCAAGATTCTGGGCGCAATTGTGTAAAATGAGAATCATGGCTATGATTTAGATTGTATACCACGGGAAAATACTATATGATAATAAAATATTGACCATAATTAAAACCTACACTAACCTATTCCTCAAAAACTCGCAGTATCGTAAAAGCCAAACTGATACATAATCAAACATTCATAATCAATTTACCTTTACAAAAATTATTCTCATAGAATCACGATAATGCTAGAATGAAAATGCAACGAAAGAGACCTTACGGTATGTTCGGATACAAATAAATTCAATTCATACTCAAAATTTAACTAATTTTAGCACCTATTAATCTGATGTGTATATTTAATTTATTATTTATTCATTCACATAATTTTAACTAATCATCATTTCGCATCATATATCTCTGACTTTTACATCAAATGAACTTTAATTTTTTATTTTAAGTATTATTTTAATATAAACTTAAAATCCCACTCATAACGAACTATACCATATTTTTTCAAATTAACCAAAAAAAAACTCAATATTTAGTGGATATATTTATATTTATATACAAGCACGTCCTAATGAACCCTTAATTAGGGTCTCACTAAATTTTGAAACAGCAAAAGTTGTGATATTGTTCCACACACGCATTCTCCACCACGAAACTAAAATTAATAAACTATTAAACAATGATAAAATGACTAAATGAGTGGATATGGACTTAAATCTATCCTCGAGCCCCAATTAAAACTCCTTTATTTTGTTTCACAAGAATATTCTTGTATGACAGCAATCTAAATGTTAAGTGGATCAACTTATTATACGTACGTATGCACAGAAATATCATACTTTTGTTTATATCTCTTCTATATATAATTTCTGAACGCGCTGAGCCTATGTGATAAACTTTCATACTTCGGAATCCTATTTGACAAAAATCATGCTTTAGAATTAGACTTAGATATAAATTAATATTTGTATTAATTGTATTTTAATATCATTTACTATTATTATCATCGAATTGCAAATATATTTTAAAAGTTGATAACTTTTGTATTTCTTATCGGTTTTACATATATAATATATCAAATTAATCATCTTTTGATGAGTTTCGATTTGACATCCATATTGTCTATATAAAATAAATAAATTATATTTATCTTTATAATAATAATAAAATTATTTATTAAAATTAATTAGAAAATAAAATTATTTATCAATTAATATATTTATGTTTAATGTAGTTATGTATTATAAGATAGAAAATTTCTTTAATATAACACATATCCCTCCTTAATATAATTTCAAAACGTGCTGAGCCTAAATGGCTGGTTCGCACGCTTCGGAAGCTTACTTGGCAACATTACATGTTTCGACTTTTGATTCGGATAAAAATAATACAATTATATTCCAAAATAAATTGGACCCCAACTCCAAATAGGATTCTTATTCTTATCTCCTCCAAATAGGATTCTTATTCTTATCATAGTTTATTTTAATTCCTTCAAAAGTTTTTTTTATCACTTATTCTTATCCAAAATTCACATATGTAATACACGGATCATACTATCACCGCCTGTTTAAATATATATAATAAAAAAAAAAAAATCGAACTTTAAAGGTTGTTGCATATTTCTTATTCTTATTATGCCGTGTATAATAAATTTGAAATGTCGTGTATTTTGCTTAATCCTACTATTATATGAGCCGTGTAGGATAAAGTGTTTCAAATGTTTAAAATCCTATTATGCCTTGTATTTTGCTTAATCCGAAATCTGTATGACAAAGTTCTCTACATTATTTAAATCACCATCCCCCTTCATTCTCATAGCCCCTTCATCTCAATTATTCATCTTACAAAAATTGAATTTACCATGACAACTGTTTTCAACACAATTGAGCGTGTATGGTTCAAACATGACAAGAATCACCTGAAAATCGTGTTGTAATGGAGATTTGTGTCTTAGACCAAAAAAATACACGATGGTTTCAATTCAGCACCTTATCCTTCGTATGCCCCTTCTGATTATTATCGTATGAGCTATAGGTATTATAATTCGAGTTATTTGATTACATCAGTTATTGTCAGTATATATATATATATATAAATTAATTATTATTATTATTGTCTCTCCTTGAATTGTAATTTGTTTGTGTTGGTTCTGACCATGTCAACAATGCATTTTATCCTCTGCGTTATGTTTAAGAAATTTCTAGAAAATCCTTAATTTGGTATGATTGGTTATGCTTATATAGTTAGATTTGTTTTCCCCTGTAGATATACAAGATGATCAAATATAGTCTTTTGTTTTGTATTTATCTCAACAGTCAATTTTCTTTTCACTAATCCAACAAGCCTGAAAAAAAAAATATTTAAACACAAATACCCATGTAAATACACGGGTGTTGAATTAGGAAGAATATGTAAAAAATATTAATTTTTTAAACTAAAATAATTTAATTTTATATAAAACATTACTTTGGGTTTTAATTAAATTGTCAAATTATATAGAGCCTGAATATTTTTTTTTTCTATTTTTGCACTTTTATACGACAACATGTGTTTTTTCTATTATTTATTGTTTTATATTTTTTTTTCCAAACAACCCGTGTAGTACACGAGTGTCGTACTAGTTAATTTATAAAGTAGAATTTTTCAATAACGCATGAAACTTATTTATGTAAGGATGCAACCGTTGATGTAGGGGTGGCCAGTCCACGGGCCGGGTCACGGCCCGGCCCGGCCCGCCGGGTCCACGGGTCGCAATTTCATGACCCTTGACCGGCCTGCATTTTCTAAGGGCCGCGGGTTTAGACCGGCCCTGAACCGCCGGGTCATGGGCCCGCCAGTTCCGGGCCGGTGCGGCCCGTTAAAAAATACATTGTGCCCGTCTTTCAACCCGCCGACCCGGCCCGGCTCGACCCGTCGGGACCAAAAAAAAAATATAATGAACCTTAACCGAACCCCGACTTTACGGGTCCGGTTCAACGAATCGGCCTTTAGGAGGCCGGTTCAGGGCCGGTTCGGTCCGGGCCAGGATCGGTTCGCGGGTCAATTCCTGGGCCGGTTCGGCCCGTGTACATGTCTATGTTGATGAACACATCTTTCCAGTTAATTTACTCCTATTAATTGGTTTTTTTCACCATTTGTTGGACGAAACAATGTTAAAAAACATTTAATTTTATGCATTTTATGATGTAAATTAAATACACTTTCTTGATGAGATTAATAAATTCTAAACAATTCTATTGCGGAAACAAAAGGAATAACAAGAAAAGGCATTTAATTAATCAAAGCACACTGATAAAAGAGAGTGAACCAATAAGAGTCGTTCAATTAAATGAACGAAGCTTACTGGAAAACATTTAAACCGACGAGACACAACACATAACACACACTATACATAACATTGTGATAGTAAAAAAAACATCAAAATTAGTACACTAACTTTTAATAACATTTTTAATGTTTTTTTCATGAGTGTACCATATTTACATGAGAACCGCTATTTACGTAGTGCTATAATTGATTGTGTTTTAGTGTTATTTTTAACATGGAACTATTCAACACAATTTATATTAGCATTTGTGAAAATAATAGCACCATGTGATATTAAAAATAACATCATACATAAATAAAAGATAACATTAAATACGGTTCTCACACCAAGATTAGTTTTTATTTGAACCACTCCCAATATATATATATATATATATTCTTTTTTTCACAACATACTCACAGTATATGACCACACTTAATCGTATTATAAAATACCACAACATATATAATCCCACAACATAATCACTTCCACGTACAGTATACAATTACACTAATGTGATCCCACTATGTGTGGACTAAAATATAAATTTTGAAAAAATTAGTTAAAATACGCATTACAGATATATACGTATACGCAACATACATCGTACATACATGCACCATAATTAACTTAAGCTATACTGCTGAAAAAAAAAATGTACGTACATACGTACATATCCAAGCCAGAGAGAGTATAGATACACATACTCAATTGTGTGTGTGTGAGAGAGAGAGAGAGATAAGACGTTTGATGCATAATCTTAAATAAGCCGGGGGCCATCCTTTTAATGTCCTCTACTCTACATAAATTCAAAACCTCAATGTCCCTTTATTTTTTCTGAAAGGACACGATCCGGATGATCTGCCGCCCCCTTTCGCCGTTGTCCCCCACCCCATAACCTTTCACACTAACCCTCTTTTTCTCTCTCTTCGCCGGCACCCTCTCTCTAGAAAAGCTTGAAAAAAAAAAGAAGGAAACTTATAATTAAAAACCAAACAAACAAATGGAAGATCAATACGGATTAATGCCGCCGGACCTCCGGCGATACGTCGCCACCGGACCGGATTTTTACCCCCCTCCGCCGCTGCAACCGCCGCCTGCGTCGGCGGAGCTGCACTCCGGCCGCCTTGGGCTGACCCAGACACACCCATACGACGTGCTCGCTTTCCGACCGGTGGAGGGCGGCTCGAGCGGCGGCGGCGGCGGCGGCGGTAGCGGTAGGTGGCAGAGGCAGGAGACACTGACGCTGCTGGAGATAAGATCGAGGCTGGACTTCAAGTTCAAGGAGGTCAACCATAAAGGTCCGTTGTGGGATGAGGTTTCAAGGTTCGTTAATTAGACTGATTATTAAACTTATTTCTTTTCTTTCTTTTTTTTTTTTTCTTTTTGGGGTTTTGAATTTCACGCTTTTTTTAGTTTATTATAGTCATTATTATTGTTATCTAGTTTTTAATTTGGGGATTAAAACAATCCAAAACTGTTTTACTGTTCAAAAAGAAAATCAAAAGTGTGAGTATTAATCATCACGCCTCTTCATTTTGGATTTTATGTCTATAAAATGATAACCAATTTTGTGATGTCTTTCAGCCTATCCTTTTTTTAAAAAAAAATTATATTAAAAAAGAAAATTTACCACATAATCTTTGAATAGTCATTTTCTTCTCCTAAATCGAGTTTTTCTACGCCTTTCAATCAAAGAAAGCACACGAGCTTTGTCTTTCCTCAAGCAAAGATCAATGTCATATCATATGAAGCCTCTTTTGTACATACCCTTTTCACATGAAACTTAACTAGGGTTACTCAACCTCACTTCACAAATATGCAGGATAATGTCCGAAGAGCACGGCTACCATAGGAGCGGGAAAAAATGCCGAGAAAAATTCGAGAATATATACAAATACTACAAAAAGACGAAAGACGGCAAGACCGGCGGCCGGCAAGACAGAAAGCACTATAGGTTCTTCAGTCAACTCGAAGCCCTTTACGGTCAAAACAACATTAACAACTCGTCGGCTTCAAACTCCGAAGCACTTCATAGTCAACCTTTTGATAATTTCCCGAGCAACGAACCCGACACAACGACGGCCTCAACCGACGACACAGAAGGGTTCGAAAACCGGAAAATGGGATGGAAGGAAAAAATCGAGGAATTTGTAGACCTAAGGATGAAAGACTTGATGGAGAAACAAGACGCGTGGATGGAGAAGATGATGGAGAAAGTCGAGCGCAAGGAGAAAGAGAGGTTGATGAGAGAAGAAGAGTGGCGAAGGCAGGACGCGGCTAGAATCGAGAGGGAGCATAGGTTTTGGGCCGGGGAACGGGCTTGGGTTGAGGCCCGGGACACGGCCCTCATGGAAGCCCTAAACAAGCTCGGGGGCAAGGATTTCGTGGCTCAACAAGGTAACAATAATGGTTGTAATAATGGAAGTGCTAATAATAATGAGAGTGGTGTTGGTGTTAATGGTGTGAGTGAGAGTTGTTTGAGGTACTTCATGGGAGATGGGTATGGAGGGGTTATGGAGTGAGAAAATGAGAGTTGAGGTTAAGTTTTTTTTTCTTAATAATAATGAAAAAACAAAAAAATAAAACAAAAAAAAAAAAACCCAGCTAAATTAACTAATTGCTCATCTTGTCCTTGTGAATATGCCTTAGGTTTGTGAAGATGTGGGGGTATTGGTTTAACTCTCTCTCTCTCTCTCATATTGTATGCTTATTGTTGACTAAATATTCTTGTAGAATATGCTTAAGAGAACTTGTGTGAATAAAAGTGATTTGGTTTAAATTATGATTGTTTGCATAGTGTATATTTGTTTTGTGCCATTTTGGTAAGTTGTGTTTAGAGCAATTGTGATTATTTGTTTTGTTAGTTTCAATGTGGGGAGGATGAGATGTGTGAAAAGATTGATGTTAATTTGGAATGGTACATTTGCTTTATCTATATATATATAATAAGAATTAACATTTACCATAAATAGTAGTAAGGAAAAGTCAACCACATTTATTATATACTATTTTCAGCAACTTTTACATTTTACATTTTAATTTTAATTCAGTATCAAAAAATTGGATGGTTCCTAAATTAATGGGTTTTAAATGCACGTATCATGTTTCAAAAATTATAAATCATTTAAAATCGGAGGGTTCATAAATTAATGGTTACAAACTTTTCAAAGTTGTAATCTTTATCGCATCTTTTCTTTTTGACTTTTAATAATAAAATTATTTTAAATATATATATTCTAATCCAAAAATTCAATCATATTAAATATATATATATTGAACGCTAAAAATATTTTTTAAATTGCATACCCAATCAATTAATCTTATTTTTTTTAAAATTACTATGTTTATTTTTTATTAATATGCATAAAATAAAAATAAATAGTTCATCTTTGGATATATAATTTATAATCTTAATATACTATCATTTGGTGTAGACATATGAATCATAAAATATTTTTATTTCATAAAATTAAATATTATATTTAAAGAAAATTAGGAAATTACTTTGGATCAATCGGGTGATTGAATTAGGGTACTGCCCACTTTGATTGAGTTACTTTTAGATGATATTTAAAATAGTCAAAAAACTTGACATAACTTGGTTGGTCCGAGGTAATTAAGTTATGTATCAGTTTGACCAGACCAAATTGATTATTGAACCTAAATATAAATTTTAATATTGAAAATACTTTATTACGTGAATGTGATGTAGTCCAAACTTCAAATAATCATATTAACAATACTTTTATGACAACATGATTAATGATTTATGAATATTTATATATCATTTTATTATTATTTATGTGAACAAAATATTTATTTCATTATCATTTTTATTAATGTACGGTAAATATAAGGTTTTCAGAATCGGACCGTCTTGTGGTTGTTCAGATTTTAATACATAATACTTTAATATATATATATATATAGTACTTTTAGTAATAAATTTAAATAAAAAGTGTTACTTAAATATCTAAACAATTTATAAATTCAAATATTTAAACTAATTGATAAACAATTTATAAATCTCTGTTTTATTTAAATATGTAATTTTATTTAAAATTATTTTTCATGTAACAAAATTTGTTTAGAAAATTGTATCGATCTTACCAGTCTAACATACTGGTATTGGCGGATTCGATAGCAAATATTTTATTCAAGCGCACTAAATCGGTTATAAACCGGTTCTCGGTCCATCCGGTCGGACTGTGTCCAACCCGGTTTAATTTATAAATAATGGGTAAATCATGATTAATGTTATTTATTTATTTAATTTATAATACAACCAAAATATTATTTTCCCGTGCATCGCACGGGACACGTACTAGTTTGTAAAATCATGCTACTTTTTTTTAATAGTTATATATCTGATTAGTAATTACCAAAATTCCTGTGGAATTTTGTATCTGTATTTTTTCAACAGATATGTATATTTTAAATTGAAATGTGATATTTTGAGCAAAATATGACTTTTTATAGCATACATGTATAATAAAATTATTTATTATGAGTCAGACTCGTCTGACTATTCAATTGGCTCACTGATTTACATACAATATTTAATATGTCTTACAACATTATTATTGTGTATGCATTTGGAGAAAAGAACTTATGACTTGTCATGCTATTTATATTTAACGTATATTATGTGACGTGTTTGGTTAGATAGAATGATTATCAAATTGCATCAAGTCATATGCAAGTTCATTTATGAGTACTAAATAGTCCTATTATAGAACATTGATTTTTGAGAGCGTTTACAACAAAAATGAAATTCCCACAAAGAGCTAAAAACAAGGTAACACTTTAAGAAACTTCCTAAATAATGCTACTAATTATATAAATTTTAGCACTCCACAAAATGTTTAATTGACCTACTTTCGCAGTAAAATCAGCAAATTCATCTATATAGGTGTGTGAAGTGCACACACCATGTGTCTGACATTAGCAGATAGATCTATTTGTTCACATAAATACACTCGAATGTATATTGATTCAATGGTGGAAAAACTTAATGAGAACCCATTTAAAATGTCCCTAATTTCGTGAACTGTGGAAGTTTATATGCAAGCGAGCTCTACACCGGGTTTTCAAAGCATACAGTAGCCGCTGGTAAATATTTTTTTTCCTAATATATAATTAGTTAATAATTATTTATTTCTTTTTTATTTCTTCTTTATAGACAAGATTTCCGCATCTACTTGATCATCATCATCACATCATCATTGTTTTGTTTG